AATATATATATTAATATACTTAATATATAAAAGAAATAAATAAATATTATTTAATATTTTATAAAATTTTTTCAAAAAATATAATTTTTTAAATTTTTGAAAAGTACAATTATGAAATATTATATTTCAATATTATTTGTATGTTTCACAATAGCAATTAATAAGTTAAATATATTATAATAATCACTATTGTAAATATTTTCTTTTTATTGTTCTATATTTCACATATTAAGATTTTATATTTATATATAAAATATAAATTATTGTATTTAATAAAAAAATAATATAAATTATTAGTACATTAATTTTTTTGTTTAAAAAAATTAGATAAATTCAATTTTTTCTTTTATATATTAAGTATATTAATATATATATTTAATACAGTAAAACCACAATAAAATATTTGTTAGTATCATTATAAATATTAAATATTCAAGAAATAGCTTTTCAGAAAAAAATTTTTCAATAATAAAGATTTAAAATGTCTCAATCTTTTCCTTTAAAATTTTCCATTCATGAAGGCTCGTCATTTTATATGATAATAAAACTTGACTAGTTGTACGTCAACAATGTAAATTTTAATTTAAAAATTCTATTTAATATAAATGAGCAGATAGAACGTGTTAAACGCGTGATATAGATAAGTTAATAAACCGGTAAAACTAGGAGGCTCGCCTCGATTCATTTTCATTTATTGCCTAGGTTAATAGAAAAAAGAATAGAATAATTTCAGGATATATAATCAATATCTATAAAAAACTTATATGACTTTAAATTTACTTTTATTTAAAATAATATCATAATTAATGATATTTAATATTTTAATTTTTTTTTATTATATCTTTCACAATTATAAATAAATAGTTTTTTGTTTTAAAATATTAAAAAATTAAAATATATGCATATAATTTAAAAGTACTTATATATTCCAATTATTTTATTGTATATTGTTAATAGAAATTTAAAAATCAATGAAATTCAAATATTATTTATTATAATCATAACTTTTATTTGATTATATTTTGATGACATTACAATATTTTGTTGTTCATGTTTTACTGTATAAATATCCTATGTTATTTGTAAACACTATATATAACTAATTATATAGTTAATTATAATTGGATGTAATTAGTTTGAATTAGATTTAAATTAAAGAGTTTTATATATTAAAATCAATTTAAACTAATATATATATGTATTATCAAAGAATAATTTGGAACATTAATAGCTTTCAAATATATAATATATATGACTAGATAAAATTATTATAATTACATTTAAGAGATATGTATTAAAATTTATGTAATATATATTATTATAAACAATATAAAGTATGAACTAATAATATCTAAATATGTGATTAAAAATGTTATATATACATATAAAATTTTCACTCAAAATCAATATAATTTTTTTTAAATAAATTTCTAATTTAACTTATAAATTACAATTATAATAGATTACATAAACTTATAAATATATTTATAAAAATGTTATTATAATAAAAAGAATTTAATTTTTACATTTAATAAATATTATTAGATATTAATGAATAGATGTTAATAATTAATCATTATTAAATTTTTATGATTAACTTTTTTTATGATTAAAGAATTACATTCATTATTTATAATATTTTTGTTAACATATTAGTATATTATATATTTTTTAATAATGTTGTTAGTTTAATTTATTTATACTAAATTTAAAAATTATATTATTTATAAATTGTATAAATAAATAAACGTTTTTTATATTTATATACAAAGAACTAATTATATGTTTATAATACATACGATATAAATTTATACAACATTGAAGTGTTAAAAACTTAAGTAAATAACAATTAATTACTTACTCCTATTTATAATAAAAATCTTTATCTATAATAATATCATTTTAAATCGATAAATAAATTATATTTAATACTAAATATCACTTAATTTGGATATAGTACAATACAATATCAGAATTTTTTGTGTTCTATCTAAGATATTAAAAACTTAGACTTGGAAAAGCTATCTAAATATGCTTTTAAAATTGTATTGCATTTCTAAAAAATTTTTATCTAGTTTTGAAACCATACATGATAAAAATTTTTATTTTTAAAGTATATATTGTATATTTCTACTACATTTATATTTATGATATAAAACTTTATATATATAA